AGGGAATCCTGGTATGCTTCAGTCCATGGGGTCGTAGAATTGAACATGACTGAGTGACTGAACTGAAACAATACTAAGCCTTTCAATTCATAAACACAGGCAAACTTCCCATTTATTTAGAGTTTCTTTAATTTCTTTTAATGAAGTTTGTAGTTTTCAATGTACAATGTTACATTTGTTAAATTTATCCCTAAGCATTTTATTCTTTTTGATGTTGTTATACATGAAACTGTTTTCATTTTCAGATTGTTCATTGCTAGTGTATAGAAAAATGATTTCCCTATGCAAGTTTTCTCTTATAGGTGCCCCAGGGCATAGACCCACTGTTGCTACTGGTTTTTCCTAAGTTATATATATCAAAGACTCCAGAAGGCTTTTCCTCGAAGAGTCAACCAGGTGGTTCTCAGGACCCTGCGGCAGCCGCTGGCTCTTAAAGAAAGTCCGTGACCATGGGCACCTCTGTCTCTACCCTCCATGGTCATGACGCCACCTGGCCTTCTCTTGCATGTTGGACAAAGGACGAACCACAAGTTTCTGATCATCACTTTCAAATGAGGGTTTTTCTCAAAATAGCAGTTACTGCCAGGGGAAGGGAGCGAGGTTTTATTCATTTCCACAGTTTATACTGAACCTTTTGGAATTACTGTTTTTCCCAAATTTTTCTCTGGTGGTGGGATGTGTCATTGAGCCAGCCATCCCCCGAAGTCTTAGTACCCCAAACTGCCAGCCAGGAGGGGGTCACTACCCTCCAGGAGCTTCTCTTGGCTCTCTTTTAAAAGTTCCCCAACAAACAGGATTCTTGCTGGGAAAGGAAGCTTGGTTAAGACATGCCAAATATGGCTTTATAAATAAAGTCTTGCCCTATGATGAAGTGGCCACCCTAGCCCAGAGAGATGCTCAGAATTGGATATGGATGAGAGCGACCTGCTTGGGCTGACCCCAGTGCTTTGCTCCCACCACCCCAATCCTCTGGTTTCCGTAGATGTCCCTACCTAGATGGGCTGAGCCATGTGCAATAAGAACATAGATCCTAACAGATCCCCTGAGAAGCTATATTTCTTGATTAGAATTCTGAAATTGTATATCTATAAATATATGTTTATTAAGTGAAAAAAAGAAAAATAATGATTTTTGTATATTGATCTTTGCTGAAGTCATTTATTAGTTCTAATAGTTTGTGTGTGCATATTCCTTAAAATTTTCTATACTAGATCATAACATATGTGAATACAGTTTTACTTCTTTTTTCCAATCTGGTTGGCTTCTTATTTTTCTTGCCTAATTGCCCTGGCTTGAACCTCCAGCACAATGTTGAATAGTAACAGCTAGAGTGAATGTACTTGTCTTGTTCCTGTCCTGTTTCTGATCTTGGAGAGCATCAAATTATTCATCATTAAGTATGATGTTAGCTGTGGATTTTTTGTAGATGACCTTTATCTGGTTGAAGAAGTTCCTTTCTATTCCTAGTGCACTGAATTTTGTTATCATGAGAGTGCTGGATTTTGTCAAATGCTTTTTCTATACCTATTGAAATGATCATATGACTTTTGTCTTTCATTCTATTAATATGGTGTATTACATTATTTTATTTTCATGGGTTAAACAACCTTGTACTCCTAGGATAAATCTCACTTGGTCAAGATATATAATCCTTTTTACAAATTTTATATGTTGCATAAATCTGTACCCATCTTGTGATGCTTTCATTTGTTTTTGGTTATAGGGTAATACTGGTCTCATAGAATGACTTGGAAAGTGTTCCCTTCTTTGGTATTTTCTATAATAGTTAATGAAAGATTAGTTAATTCTTCTTCAGACATCTGGTAGAATTCACCAGTTAAGTCATCGGTGCCTGGGCTTTTATTTGTGGGAAATTGAATTTATCCATTTAAGTTCTCTAATTTGTTGGCATATAATTGTTCACAGTATCCTCTTACATAATCATTATTTTTTTATTATTATCTTATTATGTAAGATTGGTAGTGATATCCCCTATTTCACTTCTTATATCTTATCTTATAATTATTATCTTATTATTTGATTATTATCTTAATGATTATGTAAGATTGGTAGTGATATCCCCTATTTCACTTCTGATTTTAGTTATCTGAGTCTTCTCCCTTTTATAGCTTGGTCAGTCTAGCTAAAAGCTTGTCAGTTTTGTTGATAACCAACAACTTTTGGTTTTGTTGATCTCTATTGTTTTGCTGTCCTTTATTTATTTTCACTCTTTATTATTTCCTTCTGTTTGTTTGAATTTAGTTTGTGCTTCTTTTTTTAGATTATTGATTTGAGATTTTAGAAAAATAAACATTTATAGCTATAAATTTCCTCTAAGTATTGCTTTAGCTGTATCCTATGTTTTGGTACATTGTGTTTTCATTTTCAATCATCACAAAGCATTTTCTAGTTTTCCTTGTGACTTCCTCTATGACCTATTTGTTATTTAGGAATATGTTGTTTAATTTTCACATATTTGTGAATTACCCAAATTTCCTTCTGTTATCAATTTCGAAGAACATACAGTATTTTATTTTAATCCTTTTAAATTTATTAAGGCTGTTTTATAGCCTAACATATGGTCTACTCTGGATAATGTTCCATGTATACTTGAGAATATTGTACATCCTGCTGTTGTTGAGTAGGATGTTGTACAGATGTCTGTTATGTCAACATGGTTTTCCCTGATTCTCTTAGAGTAGAACAGGGCAGTTACTTCAGATTATAGCCTAACATTCTACTTCCACCTAACTTTGCCTCTGAGGCCAAGATGTTATTGTGCTTCAATGATAATAATAGCAGTCAATACTTACAGAACAGATAATCTGTGCTAGGCACTCTACATAAAATCACTCATTTAATCCCACCACAGGCTCACCTTTGTACTCCAAGCAGTTGCTCCTCTGTATAAGTGGAGTTCCCCTCACCCTGTCGGGTCTGATTCCATTCATTCTCAGACTTCTTTTCCTTCTGTCCCTTCATGCAGTTACAGCAACCACAGGGGTCATGACTTTCAGGAGGTCTGTCTTCTGGGTATTTGTTTCTTCTGATTGCATCAATGTAAGCTGCAAAACAACAGCAGCTCCATGAGGGTTCACTCTGACCTGCAAATCAACTTTGTTACTGGCCTTAGCTATCTGGGAGGCTGCCTGTAGGCCAGTGAATGTTTGAGGACCAGGTTAGTGGTGTCATACTGACTTTTACAGATCCAAATCCATACAAAGCAGAAGAAACATCTTCCTTGAGAAAACAATACAGAAAATATAGAAGCAATCATGAAAAACTTTTAATGTCAGAAACATGAAGCATTAAAATGTCCATCATCCCTACAGGCATCAGCCAGCAAATAATCTTGATTCAGGGCCAGTAAAGGCACTCCAGAGGCATCTGCCCAATACCTTGGATTTAGGGCAGCACCAGGGAAGTCTATTTCTCTGTGGTTCATGGTCAGAAGAGAATTGTTCATAACTTATTATTTTTCATTGCAATGTTTTCCACCACTAAGATTTAAAGTAGAGGTGAGTTCAATGTTTAAATGGTTATAGAACTAATACGTACAAGACATTTGGCTAGATAGATCAAGGAGGTGTATCGGTAAGACCTACTCCTGATCAGAAAGAGGTTACTGTTTAAAGGGAGAGGATTTAATTAATCATAATGCCTGCAGAGCGTGAAGAGGGCCATAGCAAAATAGTCAAAGAAGGCAGAATGCTCATGTCCTGTCTAGAGGATCTGTTCTGGGTAAGACAAAAAACCCTTTTCTCCTGCTTAACATCTTAGTGACTACCCATTGCTCCATGTCCAGATCTCTTCTCATGGGCCCAGCCTGTCTCTTTAGCTTCAAATCTCACCACAAGCTCCTCTGTACTCTTCGTTCTACCACAGCAATCTTCCTTCAGATCAGCAATGCCTTGTTTTCTCTGGGCCTTAGCACATGCTGTTCCTTCTGCCTGCAAAACTTTTCTCTAAGTAGATCTGGCTAGCTCCAGCGCATCCTTCATGTCATCATATGTAACCCTTTCTTCATGAGGCCTCCTCTGAAACCCAGGTCGTGTTGAGTGCCTTAACAGTATGCCTCCCAAAACCTACGACCTTGCTGTGTAGCCCAGGACATTTTGGCCTTCTTTTGTAACTGTTTACCTGTCAAACTCCCCCAGTAGACTGAGAGTTCTGTGGGCTCAGGGGACCATGTCTGTCAAATCCATAATGCAGAATACATAATAGGCCTTGGTTCAGTCCTCTTTGCCTGACTGTAGGATGGAATGGGCTGGCCTATCTGTCCCAGTGCTGGATGCACAGACAAGACGAAACCCAGGTCTAGGGTCAAGCAGCACAGTTTGGAGGTGAGGATAAGGGCCGGGTAAGCAAGCTGCGGGAGACAGCGTTACCCCGCCCACCCTGGTGCGGGCGGGGCCTGATAACTGCAGGCCCTGGGCGGGGCTGGGGGCCGGAGGCAACAAGTCGTCACAGGTGACTGTGGGTACCGAGCCGGGTCCTCAGCTTGAGCCAACGCTCCGGGATTCCATATCCCGGTCCCCTGTCCTGGACAGTCTCCTACCTCACCAGGAACCCCACTCAGGCCCAGCATCTTCTCATAGGCCTCTGTCCTTCATCTCAGGCCCAGGATCTCAGCCCTTTCTGGTGCCAGCAGGAGTCCCATCCCTGATTTCTCCGAGACCCTGCCCTGTCCCACCCTCCGGCCAGGACCTGGTACCTTCCGTCCAGCGCTCCCCGCTCCCCAAAGTCGCTGCCATATCGGTTCCCAGTCAGCAGGTCTGCCGAGCCTCCCCCGCGCCCGAGGCTAAAAGGGAAAGGGGGCAAAAAAGCGCGAGGCACGATGGTCATTGTAGTCCAATCCATAGGAACTGCGGCTCACTGGACTACAATACCCGGCCTGCATTGCGCCAGGGGTCGCAGCTGCAGTGGTGTAAGGGGCGCGACCATTGGAAGGCCTGTGGAAGCGTGTTGCTGCCAGTTGACTGCTTTCCGGCTAGCGGCTCATAGCTGCTACTGTGACAACTGCGGGCAGAGCTTTTCCTCATCTGTGGGAATAGTGGCTTCCACGCCGCATAACAGCTGGGAAGTTCAAGGAGACGTGATTAGATCCACTGGGAAAGACAAACTGTGGGCTAGAGGGTGACATTGTGACTATTTTTAGCTTCAGGAATGTCCTTTTGAAATATACGCTGACACCTATTCTGTGTAAAAGTGTGTGTTTGGTCCAGGACAAGTTCTGGTGATGTTGAACCCAACCCTGGGAAGAATCAAGGAAATAAAAAGGTGAGAGTTTTATGTGGTTAGAAGGGAGCGTCCCTGGCATAGTTTCATTAGAGTGTCCAGTAAAAGTCAGGGGTAGAGAAAGAAGAAAAAGGCAGGTTTTGGAGCTGGCCTTAGATTCCTATCTTTGCTTTTCCTTAGTCTTCCTCCATCCCAGGATGTCTGAAGTCTCCATCAGACATCCATCCCTGAAGTCTCCAGGGCCCCTCTGAGACTTCTCTCCGCCACCCTATTTGTTTACTGCGCCCATCCCCTTTTCTGAAGGACCAGGCCCTAGGAGATGAGTGAAAAGGAAATGAAGAATTATCCCTTCATTTTCCCACTCAGGTTTGCATGGAGCCTAGCAAAGAATAAAAGCGATTCCTAAGTGTCCTTACTGACTCATCCCTGCAGGTGAGTTGGGATGGCCAAAAATCAGGTCTGCAGAAGTGAAACATGATCATGTACATCCCCAAACAAAAAATCACCTGGAATTCACTGAGATCTTACTCACAAAGACCAAATAAGTTATGTCAATTGTGATATCAAACAGTAGCTACTTAGGTAGTTGGGGTGGAGTGGGGAGATGTACAGCCCTAGACACAAACTGAAAGGGTAAATGCCTTTGGTTGTAAGCAGTTCCATCCCTTCCCTGCAGTCATGGCCCTGGGATACATGAGCACCAGTGTGTACACAGAAGGCTGGGTCCTGAAGAAGCCACTTGTGCTCTTCAGACAAAGGGTCTGACCAGGGACATCCTTTAGGTGGTTAAAAGAAGTTTATTTGGTTTAGGGAGGCTAGACAGACTCCTCTAGAAGATGGACAGGGAAAGGTGGAATATGTCTTGAAGTCCAGAGGCACTGGACTAGAGTCAAAGATGTCAGAGTACCATGAAGTCAGAGGTATCTGGTTGAGAGTGGGGATGCTAGAGCATTATATGGGAGAAACTGGATTGAGAAGAGGTGCTATGAATTATGTGGCTACTTAGGAGTAGGGTCACAGAGTACTAGCCAAGCTGATCACATTGACCACAGCCCTGTCTAACTCAATGAAACTTTGAGCCATGCCATGTAGGGCCACTCAAGATGGATGGGTCATGGTGGAGAGTTCTGACAAAACGTGGTCCACTAGAGAAGGGAATGGCAAACCACTTCAGTATTCTTGCCTTGAGAACACGATAAACAGCATGAAAAGGCAAAAAGGTAGGGCACTGAAAGATGAACTCCCCAGGTTGGTAGGTGCCTAATATACTACTGGAGATCAGTAGAGAAATAACACCAGAAAGAATGAAGAGACGGAGCCAAAGCAAAAACAACACCGAGTTGTGGATATGACAGGTGATGGAAGTAAAGTCCAATGCTCCAAAGAGCAATATTGCATAGGAACCTGGAATGTTAGGGCCATGAATCAAGGCAAATTGGAAGTGGTCAAACAGGAGATGGAGAAAGTGAACATCAACATTTTAGGAATCAATGAACTAAAATGGAATGGATTGGGTGAATTTAACTCAGATGACCATTATATCTACTACTGTGGGCAAGAACCCCTTAGAAGAAATGGAGTAGCCATCATAGTCAACAAAAGAGTCCAAAATGCAGTACTTGGATGCAATCTCAAAAATGACACAATGATCTCTGTCTGTTTCCAAGGCAAACCATTCAGTATCACAGTAATCCAAGTCTATGCCCCAACCAGTAATGCTGAAGAAGCTGAAGTTGAACGGTTCTATGAAGACCTACAAGACCTTCTAGAACTAACACCCAAAAAAGATGTCCTTTTCATTATAGGGGACTGGAATACAAAAGTAGGAGGTCAAGAGCTACCTGGAGTAACAGGAAAATTTGATCTTGGAGTACAAAATGAAGCAGTCAAAGACTAACAGAGTTTTGCCAAGAGAATGCACTGGTCATAGCAAACACCCTCTTCCAACAACACAAGAGAAGACTCTATACATGGACATCACCAGATGGTCAATACTGAAATCAGATCAATAATCAATTTCAATAATCAGATTGATTATTTTCTTTGCAGCCAAAGATGGAGAAGCTGTATACAGTCAGCAAAAACAAGACTGGGAGCTGACTGTGGCTCAGATCATGAACTCCTTATTTCCAAATTCAGACTTAAATTGAAGATGATGGAATTCCAGCTGAACTATTTAAAATCCTAAAAGATGATGCTGTGAAAGTGCTGCACTCAATATGCCAGCAAATTTGGAAAACCCAGCAGTGGCCCCAGGACTGGAAAAGGTCAGTTTTCATTCCAATCCCAAAGAATGGCAATGCCAAAGGATGCTCAAACTACCACACAATTGCACTCATTTCACACACTAGCAAAGTAATGCTCAAAATTCTCCAAGCCAGGCTTCAACAGTATGTGAACCATGAACTTCCAGATGTTCAATCTGGTTTTAGAAAAGGTAGAGGAGCCAGAGATCAAATTGCCAACATCCACAAGTGCTCAGGGCTGGTGCACTGGGAAGACCCAGAGGGATCGGATGGGGAGGGAGGCAGGAGGGAGGATTGGGATGGGGAACACATGTAAATCCATGGCTGATTCATGTCAATGTATGGCAAAACCCACTACAGTATTGTAAAGTAATTAGCCTCCAACTAATAAAAATAAATGAAAAATAAATTAAAAAAATAAAAAGCAAAAAAAAAAAATTGCCAACATTCATTGGATCATTGAAAAAGTAAGAGAGTTCCAGAAAAACATCTACTTAAATGGAAACAGTGAGAGACTTTATTTTTGGAGGCTCCAAAATCACTGCAGATGGTGACTGCAGCCATGAAATTAAAAGATACTTGCTCCTTGGAAGAAAAGCTACAACCAACCTAGACAGCATATTAAAAAGCAGAGACATTACTTTGCCAGCAAAGGTTCGTCTAGTCAAAGTTATGGTTTTTCCAGTAGTCATGTATGGATGTGAGAGTTAGACTATAAAGAAAGCTGAGCGCTGAATTGATGCTTTTTAACTGTGGTGTTAGAGAAGGCTCTTGAGAGTCCCTTGGACTGCAAGGAGATCCAACCAGTCAATCCTAAAGGAAATCAGTCCTGAGTATTCATTGGAAAGGCTGATGCTGAAGCTGAAGCTCCAGTACTTTGGCAACCTGATGTGAAGAACTGACTCATTGGAAAAGACCTAGATGCTGGGAAAGATTAAAGGCATAAGGAGAAGAGGAAGACAGAAGATGAGATGGTTGGATGGCATCACAGACTTGATGGACATGAGTTTGAGTAAGCTATGGGAGTTGGTGATGGATCGGGGGACCTGTTGTGTTACAGTCAATGGGGTCACAAAGAGTCGGACACAACTGAGCGACTGAGCTGAATTGAACTGAACTAGGAATAGGGTCCAGGTTCAAGAATGCTGGGCAAGATTTGGGAAGCTGAGGCCTCTTGGAAATGTCTGGTACTTCAATGACCTTTCCCATTATCCTCTGAAACCTCACTTCCTCCACTTCTAGATGGCTCAGTGACTTCTATATCAGTAAAAAATGATTTAGCATTGCAACTTTCTCAGATATTACCATGCAGATATATCCTTCAACTCATTTACACCTCAATTAACACTTCTGGGTGAATTTTTCTGTGACTATATCACCAGGACTAACTTAGAACTCCAAATCCTCAACATTTAGAACACTTCTGTGCCAGTTTTTGCTTAAGCACGCCAACCACACAACAAAAATAATTCCCACTGTCAAATTCAATCTCTGTTTGGTAAAAGAGGAAACTGTGGGCTTAAAGGGCTCAGGATGGAGGTGCTGGCAAAAGTAATCAGCAGGAAGAGTGAGAGCACCTGGGAAGGAAATAAGGGAGAAGAACTTGGCAGTTCTCAACGAAAGGGAGGTAGGTGCAGAAAGAAGTTCAAAGAGATGAGAAAGGACATCGACAAATCAAAGGGGAAACTGCTGAGCAGAGCCACACAATGTTTCCTAGCAAATTCAATAGAATTGAGTAGTACTAGCCTGGCTTTGGGAAATTGTATTCAAGACCTAGGCTGGGAGGCCTGCAGTAACTCTTCATCTGCTAAACCACTTCACCTAGAATCAGCCTCAGATTTCTATCAGTTTCTCTACTTTTAGAAAAATTTGTTGAACTGTAGTGAATTTTTGTGGGTGATACTGAGGTTTACTGTGTTCCCTATGTGATTGAAGTGCTGCCCCATCCAGCCCTGGAAGAAAGATACTGAATAAATCATCCCTCTGTTTGATGGAGCCTGTGCTCCTGAGATGACTTGTCAGTTGACCTCCCATTGGATGCAGGGAGAAGCAAGGGAAGGACACACAGCAACCAGCCCACCCCTGCCACTTGTTCCTGCTTTGGAGTCCTGAAGTCCTATGTTAGAATAGGGAGGAAGCCGTCCAGTAAATTACCACCATCCTGTTGTCTAGACATCAAGGAAGAAATATGGGCTCAGAGAAGCTGCTATACTTGGCTATACTTGGATTTCCTGTCAGAGGTGGGGTTCTGTATTTACATAAATAGTAGGATTCTCCAGCAGAAACCTCTCTAATATAGCTTGCTAGAGAGCAGAATTCAGCATGAAGTGAATTCATCCTTAACCTCTTCCCAAAGGGTATTTATTTGACAACAGGAAAGTCAACTTGGCTAATGTGGTATTTCAATGTCAATTTCAGGGTAAAAGCTTTCAGTCTCTTGTTGATACCAGTTCACCCCATCTCTCCCACATAGAAATTCCTTAGGACTAACAGCTCATATTTGCTTTATATTGTCCAGAATCAAGGGGAAGTTTGTGGCCTTATAATGTAGATATCAACTGAGTTACCTAGAATGAAACCACATCCTTAACCTAATTAGTCCAGCAAGGTAAGAAACTGAACTAAGTCCCTCCGGCAGTCAGAGTAACAATAACAATTCAAAAAGAATCCAGTACTAAAAAAAAAGAAAAAAGAATCCAGTACTTCTAGACATTGTTAGGTCACCTGGAGAGTTCTATCCCAGTGAATGGATTTTTGTATTGGAACTGGCTAAGAAGTCATGTGTTTTTTGCATTGTGGCTTAAATAAAATATATCAATTACTTTTTAAATGCCATAGAATTGCTGTCACATGTTGGGAACTCCAGGAAATATAGTCTCTGAGATTTGCATGCTGAAGGTTTATTGGTGAGTGTTCCTAACATTAAGTTGTGAGTTATAAGGGAAGCAGGATTAAGCAGAGGGAGAAATTGATATAAGGAGTCCAAGTCTTCACCCTTACCTCCACCCCCATTGACTGGTCCTAAGTCAGCTATGAGCCCTCAGTAGCCAACACTCCCAGCAGTTTAAGATCAAGGGTCTTGATCCTGAAGTGGGACCTGGGTAGTGGTACTCCACATTAGCTGCTGCAGTTCCAAGTGTCTCTACATTTACTATTCCATTTTACCTACCAAGTAGCCTGTGAGATAGACAGGGCTAGGCCGGGATCATTCTTCCACACTGATGCACACTAACACAGAGGAAAATCTAAGTCCCAGAGTCACCCAATACTTGTCTCTGGCTCCCACCCAGAATGATCTCTGCTCAAAATATTGTGTTCATTTTCTCTTACATCTTGAGTTTACCAAATGTAGAATATAAGAACCAAAAAAGATAGGGAAGACCACGTAGTCTACCCACTTCACTTTAAAAGTAAAAAAATAGTTTCAGAGATGGGGATGGTTTCACCCAAATCAAGCTGCAGGTCTGTGGCAGAGCCCAGTCTTTTGACTAGATTCTCTGCCCTCACAAGCCAGTTTTCATGACCTCTGATGTACTGGGCATGGTGTACCACATAGAAGCTACAGACATGAGCAGGTTACAGGCCCTGCCCTAGAGGATTTTAGAATCCAGTAGGTTTCTTCAGACCACTTTAATAGTTTCATTGAGACAAGCAGAGTGAAACTTTCTGTTCTGTTTTCTCTCTCCTGTTACTTCACAGAGTCTACATCCAGAAGAAAATAGCATATGGTTGCTTCAGAATGGCTAATTTGTATTTTCTTGTGTTCTAAACTGCCATCAACCAGATGCTTATGGTGCTCCATGGAGACATACCCAGATGACTCTTCCATTGACTCTCCTCAACCAAGATTCACTTCCAAACCAGTGTCATGGTAGAGATGACTAAGAATACAGATGACTTTCTTTTTCTCATTCTCTTTAAATGACTTTACAGTGTTTGTGAACCTTCATTCTGTTTCTCAGACACAGAAATCATAGCTGTGTGGGGCACAGGGGGTAGATTTAGGTTGATGAAGTCATAGATCTGTCCTTCCCAGTGCTATTCCCACCGGTAGGATGAAAGTGAATCACGTTTACTTGGGGCAGGCAGAGGACATTTGCCTTTTTATCATTCAGCTCTTGTCACTGGAGTGTCTGAATCAAAATGCATTGTACCTCTCGTGTTCTCACTCTGCAGACCAACTGGTGACAGTTGGTCACTGTCTATAGCTCCTTTTCTCTCCCTTCTATTGGAGTGGTTAGTCCTCATTACTGCTTATAAATCAAGTAAAACAAGGCAGACCTGATAAAACATTCTCTCCACCTCCCAAGCTTCTCAGAGAGCTCTCCACAGGGGTAGAAACTTGTACACATGCCTTACCTCCAAAAGGAGGCCCCAGAACTGCTAAAACACTCTAAGAAATACTCATGGGAGCATAGACCTTAGAAGAAATTAGACTGCAGGTTAGAAAATAACTTTAATGCCAAGGAAAAAGGATCAGTTCACTTTGTCATTTTCCTTGCTCTGGCTCTGTAGACTCCTCCTTCCTCTGACTTTGAAATGGCAGGGAGGAGCAAGCTGTGTTTCTAGGCTGACTGTCCACATGGGAAAGAGTCTCTCATACTGGCAGCTCCCTCTCAGATCTGGAGGGATGCTAGTGTCTTTTCAATCTGGGAGTAAATGGGAAACAATAATTTATATCTGGTTCATTGCCTCTACTGATGCCATCACCTTCTTCCTTACAGTCACAGGGCAGTTGCCTCATCATCAGATCCACTGGGACCCAAGGTTGCTTTTAAAGAACCTGCAAAATAAATATATAATGAGGATGGGTGAAATTATTAGCCATGGTGGGGTAGAGAAAGAAGAGTCTGGGCCTTCGAGAGTATCTCCTTTCTGGTTAAGGAAATAGCGCCTGAAAGGAGGAGGAAGGAGAAGGAAGGAACCAGGAAAAAAATGCACCTTCTCTGCTGAGGGGCATCCTTTGCTGTTATTCATGTTGATGTTCTTCATCGAGATAAGAGTGATGCTCTCTTTCTCTCCATTGGCTGTGGAACCGCTGGGGAAGGAAGGGAACATGGGTTTTAGAGAGAAGGAGCTGCAGGGCGTTGGGGGTCAAGGAATTGTTGAGGTGGGGTGTTGAAATTTAGACCTTTGTTTTGAGAAGCCTTTATTTTGGTGGTAGATTGTCATCAAACAAGTATGTGCTTTGAAGCCCAAAAGACTTGTGTTTAAATCTTAGTTTTATTACCTACTACTTGTGTGACCTGGACCAAGTTAAAACCTCTCCTGCGTGCTAAGTTGCTTCAGTCGTATCTGACTCTTTGTGACCCTATGGAGTGTAGCCCACTAGGCTCCTCTGTCCATGGGATTCTCCAGGCAAAAATGCTGGAGTGGGTTGCCATTTTCTCCTTCAGGGGATCATCCTGACTCAGGGATCAAACCCACGTCTCTCATATCTCCTGCATTTATTGGTAGGCAGGTTCTTCACCTCTAGTGCCACAACTTCTCCTAAGTCTTAATTTTTTTTAATGTGTAAAATGCATAAATATCTGCCTTGAAGAACTCTGAGGATTTGAGATATTATAGTGCTTGGCACATACAAGGTGTTCAGAAAGTGGTTCCTTAAATACGTACCCTCTGTTTAAGGAGTATATTAGAATCTGAGTTCCTTCGCTTTTCATGAAGAGGTTAATAAAGACTTAGCATTGTGGGTAAAGGATTCCTTAGGGGTAAAGTCCATCTCCTTTCATCTGACTGTTTCCTTTCAGCTCCACCCCTATCCTGTCCACCCCCAGCACTGGCCTCAGTGAGGCTGTCAGGACTCTGTGTGTGTGTGTGTCTGTGTGTGTGTGTGTGTGTGTGTGTGTGTGTGTGTGTAAAAGGCAGGAAGCATTGGTTCCCTCTTGGAGTGGAGGAGTAAGAGTTCAGTAGATGATTCTTTCCTTGTACTTCTAATAGTCTTACCTTTCAGAGAGCCCTGAACTCCCAGGTTTCTGAGGATCTGTAAAAACCCAAAGGCACAGGTTGGAGGCCACAGGCTGTAACTCAGAAGCCCAATCGGCCCTTCAAAGCCCACCTAAGTGGACCTCCCCCCATATCCCATTTCCCCTGTGTGCTATTCCTTCCCTCAATTCTGTGCTGGGTGTCAGGCCTAGAGTCTGGCTGTGGGTCCCTCATCAAAGAGAGGCAAAGGGGGCCCTGAGAGTCAGGGCATGTACCTTCAGACTCCTTGTTCTTCTGACACTTAAACCTTAGACTGACCACACTGACCAGGACGATCACCACAACCACTAGGATGGCAATGAAGCTGATGACACCTGAACAGGGAAAAGAATGGGGTGAGGGAAAGACAGAGGAGGGGACAAAAGAGGCCCACAGGAGTCCAAATTCCCTTCCCAGCTGAGTGCTGTTTATACAGGTTCTGGGAGCAAAGTGAATTCCTCTTCACTCCCAAATGAATGTGCTCTCAACCTGTATCCCTGGCTAAAGTGATCTCCACAGCCCACCCCATCCTCTCTTAGGAACACGGAGTCCAGCAGAGTCCAAAAGAGCTGAGTGGAGGGCCAGGGGAGGCTCCTTCCCCACCAGCATCTTCCTCATCAGCCAACCCTCCTGAAATAAATGGGCTAGATTTGAACTTGTGTTCCCAGACCCAGAGTTCAAGTCAGTTCAGGCATGAGCCTCCCCCCACCACTCCCCACCTTCTCCCTCTCACCAAATGCAGCCACAGTGAGCACCGTCTCTGACGTGGGGCTGGGTGGGACAGTGGAGTCTGCTGTCATCCTAAAACTCATGTTGGATGATGTGGAAGTAACATTGTGAGAGGTGTCTAGAAAGGAGTAGGGAGGGATGGGGGTGTCAGTGGAGGGACTGACTCAGCCTACATGAGAAAGCCAGCCCCCTCCCACTTCCCCCAGGTAGAGAACTGAGGAGAGAACTCCCACAAAAGACACCCTCCCACCCTTCAGAACTGGGAGACATGGGATCACGGGAAGAACACTGCTGGTTACTCATGTTCCTAGGACTTAAGAAAGTTCAGGATGCTTCCCCTCATTATGCTTTTCCCACCACACCCATGGGGCCCAGAGGAGGGCTGCAGAAATAGGGAGCCAGACTGGGGTCCTAAAACAAAACATGGGGAGCCATCTGTGTTTTGCCAAATGTTGAACTGGGAGGAAGGAAGGGCACTGGATGTCTGTCCCCAGGCACTGACCTAACAAGTCAGGCTGCCAGTTAATGGACACAAGTTTCTGATGCTCTTACAATGCAGTACGGTTGCCCATCTCTGCCCAGCTTCAACACATTTACTGCAGGCCTGATTGCAATTCCACGATTCCAGTTCCTTATCTTCACCCCCCGCCCCACCAAATAAGGTGGGAAGTATAAAAAAAGTCGAAGAACAGAGGGCTGGGACAAGAGAAAGGGTCAGGGTGCTCTGCTCTGTGAGCACAGACAGGACATACCTACACTCATGCTGTTGCTGCTCCTGCCACTGCTCGGAACATCAGTGCCTGCACCATAAAACAGGGCCCAGATGGGAAGGTACCCACCCACTCCTGGTTTCCTCCCATACTGCTGGGTGAAGCCCAACCTGCCCTGAGAAGCATGTAGCCATTTCCCAACCTTTTATGCCTTCCTTTCCATCATTTTGCATTTTCTTATTCCCTGCCCCACCCCCCCCACCAATTATCCCATCTATGCCTTTATCAATTCTGAGTCCAGGCTCCTTTTACCTTCACTGTGACCCATTCCTAGCTCCATTCTCCCCACCCTCACCCACAGGCTGCTCTAGTTGTCTCCCAAAGCAGGGTACCACTGGTGTGGATCCTGGTGTGAACCCTCACTCTGGGTGGGGCAGGACCCTGGGCCTCCTGAACGAGGAAGAAGGAACCCAGTCAGACATGACCCAGTGTTTTTCCACCCCTGGCCCCGGGTACTCACTGAGTCCTGACATGTGTTTCTGTGACTGGGACCAAGTCAGTCCCGGAGAGGACGGCAAGTGACCAGCCACGGTGCTTGAACTCAGAGTCACGGCTTCTGTGGAGATCTGTGAGGGCATCTCTGATGCTGCTGCAGGTTAGGAAGCGTGTGTGGCCTGCTTAGAGCCTCAGCCAGCATGTGACCAGGGAGGCTCTTTAGTCCCAAATCTGCCTTCAGGTCCTCTGGGCCTTTACCTTTGCAGTGCCCTCTGCCTGCGGTATGCCCTACCGCCCTCCACCCCACAGCCTCCATCTGACTGATTCCTTTTTGGGCCTCAGCTTCGGAGATCACTCAGTCTGGGATGTCTGGCCCTACATCTGAAGTGGTTGATGTTGCCTGGGTTCCCATAGCACCTTTGGCTTATGCCCATCATGGCCCTTCCCCACCTCCTAACGGTCAATGTGAGGTCCTATTTACTTGTCTGGTCCCCTACTACTCTGTATTGTCCTTCAAAGCAGACTCCGTGTCTGCCTCATTGTTGGACCTTCTCTGGATGGCATCTATAACCTGAGCAGTGGGGTACCTGTGGTCCAGGTGTCGGACAGAGGGCTTAAGCTGTTGGCCTCTGTGGAAGGACCTGCAAATATAGGCAGAGAGCAGTTGGAGGCTGGGCAGGTTTGGTGATGCCACCACGCTCCCTAGCCCACCCAAGAACCCTTGGGCTCCAAGCAGGTCTAAAGGGCTGGGGAGAGGGCTGGGCAAGGGGCAAGGCTTGGCCACTCAGCAGCCATACTCACTTGTTTCAGGGGAAGTTGGCTGTGTGGTTGAACTTTGACTGCTGAAGGCTCCTGAAACAGATCATCTGAGACTGAGGGTCCACTGCCTCTGACTGCTCTGTCTCCCTCTCTTCTTCACTAAGCTGGTGTTTTCTAGACTTTTCTCCCTACCCCACCCACCACCCAATCATCCATCTCTCTCCACTCTCAAGGCACGTGAGAGATTCCTGCAAAACAGGCCTGGAGC